CCGCTTTACGCTCTGACCAGCAATGGATTAGAGTCCCATTTGCTCCATGTCCTTGCTAACCACCCTTGGAGCTTTATGATGGGGTCTTTTACTTTGCGTGTCCCCGATGACTAATGACGCTGAGCATCTTTTCATGCACTTATTGGCCATTTGTAGACTTTTTCTGTGAAATGTTTGTTCAAGTCATTTACTCATTTTTAAAATGGGGATTGTTCATCTTCTTATCATTGACTGGGAATAAGTTCTTTATATATTCTGGATGTAAGTCCTTCATCAAGTGGATATATTACAAATATCTTCTCCCTGTCTGTGGCTTGCCCTTTTATTTTCTTAATGGTGTCTTTTGAAGCACAGATGTTTTAAATTTTAATTAAGTCTAATTTACTGATTTTTTTCTTTACACAGCTCACACTTCTTGTGTCTTAAAACAAAAACACAATTTTTACAGCCTAGGGAATGTAGTCAATGACATTGTAATAGCATTGTCTGGTGACAGATGGCAGCTACACTTGTGGTGAGCCCAGCGTAACATATAGGGATGTTGAATCACCACGTTGTACACCTGAAGCTAATGTAATGTTGTGTGTCAACTATACTCAAATAAAAAAATGTAAAAAACCCACTTTGCCCTCCATATGGTCACAAAGACTTTCTTTTATTTTTTTCTTCTAGAAGCTTTATAGTTTTCTTTTTTATGTTTAGGTTGAAGACCCATTTCTAGTTATATTTGTGTGATTTGAGGGGAGGGTCAATGTTCATTTCTTCCCCGTATGAATACCCAGTTTTTCTAGCATCCTTCATTTGAAACACTTTCCTTTCCTCATTGAATTACTCTGTCAAAAATTAACTGAGCATATAGGAACCTCACAATGTTTAATTCTATTAGAACGGAAAGCTCCCACGTCTGGTCATGCCCACTACTGACCTCCTTTCCTTAGAGAGGCTGTAAGACAGATTAAGCTGAGAGTCGGGGAAAGGAACCCACACGTAAGCTTTGTTTTTGTACACGATACACGGCATGGTGTTTGCTGCACTTCCAGGATACTTGCTTAATCTCTCCACAAACTCCTAACAATGCCCTGTATTTTGTGTGTTTGTGATATGGGAAGGAAGATGCTTTCTGGATGCCACCTTGGGTTCGTGCAGTCAGTGTGAGGGTCTGTGGACTTCTGCTTGCCTTTGTGTCCTTGCACTGATATTAGCAGCTTAGAGCTCAAGAGTCTAGGGGATGGAGGTCATATCTGTAAATGTCATTTTGTTTTGTGAAGCACCGAGCTCTGTGCCCGGAGCATGTGTGGAATTTAATCAGTAGCATTGAGGTTACAGCAAATTCACTATCCGTCAGTTTCCTCGTCTATGTCATGGCATGAAGGCTCATCTCTAGTTCATTCAGTTCAGTTCAGGACCAAATGGGCGATTCGTGTAAAGAAAGACCATTGGACCATGGCTGGAGAAGGAGACTTGACCTTTTCACCAGGCTGATTTGGTTCTCTTGGAGACTATGGATGTGTGATATCTAGAACAGACCATGGCCTGGTCTTTGTTCATATTGCTCGTCTTTCAGATCGACGTTGGTCTGAATAGTTTTTAGGTCAACGGAAATTAAAGGAACTGCTTTGCACCCATGGACGGTTTGTGCCTGTGGACCCGAGCTCTATCTCTCTGTCCCAGCGAGTGCTGACGCCCCAGCCCGGAGAATTCTGTGCTTTCTCCCTCACTCCCACCGTTTATGTACAGCCCAGGGAAAGCCTCGTGCTAACGGACACGGAGGGCGAGGCTGCGTGGAAAGCGAAGGGAAGAGATGTCACAAAATGGCAACATGCACCCGAGGTGAGATGAAGGATATGTGCATGTTGCCGCTTGACAGCCAGACAGAGTGGCCCAATGTTGCCATGGTGACGGAGCCTGCTGCCGCTAAGTGTATGAGCAGCTCCCATGTTTTTTATAGCAGCCGGTCAGTGCCACTGCCTTCTCTGGATTGCTGCTCCCCACCCCCCCGAGTGGCCGCTTGGCCCCAGCTGTCCTGATCTCTGTTGACAAATGGTTGTCCTTCACAGTCAAACTACTAGCAGTCATCTAATTAATGAATGTGCTAATTATCCTGCCCGACTCCCAGCACATTTGTCTAACTAGCCTGTCACACGCTGTAAGTGCAGCATAGGCATGATCGGCGAGGTGCGAGAGCAGGGGTCTGGGAGCCGTGGGGTGGGCTCACAGCTCGGAGGCGGGGGATAGTTCTTGTTAAACCACCTTTGCTAACAGTGGGGGTCTGGAGAATCTGTTATTTCCTGTGACATGTATCTGTTTTCCTTTCCTTTTTTTTTTTTTTTAAATCTCTCTTTAGGGGCCAGGGGCCATTGCTCATCGAACTAGCGCCAATGGGGAAGGACCAGGGAGTCCTGAGCTCTGAAAACGATTCCAGAAGCTCTAGGACCAGCATTCAGAGAGGTTAAGGACCCAGACTTTGAAGCTAGGAGAAGCCTGGCTTTGAATCCTGGTTCTGCTCCTTACTACATGTGTGTCCTTGGACGTGTGGTTTAACCCCTCTGCACCCCAGTTTTATCCTTTGGGCCATGGGAGGAGTAACCTGTCCCCGGAGGGCTGTGTTGAGGAGCAAAGATGCAAGCTGCTCAGGGCTGCGGGTCCTGTGCCTGGTCCGGCCTGGCCTGGGCCCTGTCGGACTGTCTGCAGGGCAGGAGACCATCTTGTTAGGAAGGGGGACAGAGAGCAGGGCCGCCGCGCTCCCCTCCCCCGCTCCCCTGGCGCCCCTCGTCTTTTTGTTCTGTCTCAGCAGCTCTCTATTGAGATGAATGGCATTTCCAGAGGCTTCACCTCTGATAAGTGTTCCTCTGCGGCGGCAGCCAGAATCTTAATGTGCGCGCTGTAATTTAATGGCCATCGCGGCTGACTATGAAAACGCTCTTCCCGGGTGAAGTGGACTCGCTCCATCGGCATGTGCTCTGCAGCCTGGCGGGGTGACTCCAGGGAGCTCGGATGTGGAGGGCGCCCACGGAGGGGGGCGCAGTGACTGAACCTCTTACCAGGGCCCTCCCGCCTCCGAAAGTGGAAATGGCTGGGCATTACCCACCCCCACCTCCACCCCAGGCCCACCACACCCCACCCCCACCCTAACCCCATTTTGTGGGGTCCCTGGAGGCTTGGGAAGCAAGAAGAGAGGCTGCCCCTTCCTGAGTTCCCGTGTTCCAGGAACCCAGGCTGGGATGATTCCCCAAGCATCGTTGGATTTTGTCCTGCTCTTTTTTATGTGCCTACCAGTGGTGGCAGCCACTTACCTGCCATAAACACAAACACCCAAGCAAGAAGGAGGTCAGGCTGAGCCTTAGAGCCATCAGGCCGTGTGATAGAGAAACGTCTTTAATAACCGGGTATTTCAACCTGGAATTTTAAGTAGTGGACAGTCACAGTGTGATGGTAGATATACCCGGCATCCCTTCACCCCACACCCCCCGACGCCCAATCTTTCTTTAGGGAATGATCTCCTTCAACCACATGACAATTATGGAAACTACCAGCTTCTTTCATTTTCCTGCCATCTGGTGGTCCTAGGAATGATATGTGACTAGCCAGGGCCCATGAGATCGTTCTAAGAATTTAGATGAGGGAAGTTGGTCCTTTACTCTGTGGAGAGAAGTGGTCTGCAGAGAGAACAAAGCTGACAAACCGAGAGAAAGTTGAGAAAGAGAAAGAGAGGGAGAGACAGAGAACTCTATTTGAGAGAGAGAACGCTGGGCCTCCAAGGCCCAACCACAGACATCTCTGCTCTTTTCCACTTTCGGTTGTTCAGTTCCTTGGATTTTTTGACCCAATCAATTTCCCTTTTTGCCCAAGCTAGTTTGAGCTAAGTGTCTATTGTTTGCAACTGGAGTACTTTTCGAAGGGACTGGCCTTCACTTCTGATGCATTGTCCTTAGTTATGATAAGTTTTAGAAAGGCTACCTCTTCACCAGGGTCAGACTCCTTATCTCCTGGGCCCTAAGCAGCCTCTGAAACTTACCAGACCTCCCATAGAAATAGGGCCTCATTAAGGTGAATATGCAAATCTTGCTGGTGCTGAGCACCTAACCGATCTTGTGACATAACGCTTGGCAGAGTGCCCCAGGCACTGAGAGAGTTCTCCGGAGGGTCAAGACCTTGTCTGGCCTGCCCTTGCCATAGGCCTCCACATGTCCAAGCTCTGGACATTGCCTCCATGGACTTCTGTCTCTCTCCGTTGAACGGAGGACATTCAAGGTGGCCTCTCCCACACGAAGATGCAGTTCCCTGCAGCCACCAAGTATAGTGGCTCATGTTCTCTTTCAAAGTGAGGTTTTGATAAAAGCTCCTCTTGATCACTGCCGAATAGTTGTTGAGTCTGGGCTGAAGATTGCAGGAATCCTGCATTTTCTGTGCGGCTTCTGAGAGACTGCCACTTACAAGGAGAAAGCTGTCCTGTAAAATGACAGGTGACCACCTACCTCACCCAGCAGGCTCACTCTTACCCCTTCTCTCTACTCTTATTATTACGTTGAGAAGGTTCCAGGAAGGTGTCTCAACAATGACCTCGGAGGAGCCAGCGGTGTTTAATAATGCTGCCCGTTTGGAAGTTTTCCTTATGGGTCACCCGTATCCTCATTTCTGCTCCTTATCTAAATTCTTTGGTTTAGTTTTACTTCTCTTGTTGCCCTTTTTCTCCCCTGTAGAAATGGAGATGTCAGCTTGTCCCGCCTCCTCATTCATTCATTCATTCATTCATTCATTCATTCATTCAATCCCTCATCCAGCCCTCATTATGTGGCTACCACGCAGGACCCTGCCGTGTGTGAAGTATTCCATTTTCTTCCCCCCTGGGAATTCAAGAAAAGAAAGGCAGCACTCAAAACCCAGATCTTTTGGGTGCTCTATAAATAAAACCCAAGTTTCCTTTTTTTCTTCCCTTCCTGCTCCTCTTCCCAGCTCTGCTTCTCTTGGCAGGTCACACGAGCCAGGGTGCTTTGGTGGCTAGTGAAAAAAAAAAAGAGAGAGAGAGAGAGAGAAAGAAGAAGTAAGTGTGTAACTGTGCCGGGACCTTCGGAAATTCTAATGATGAAAGACGGAGTGCGGGCTCTCACTTCCCCTTTCTGCACGGTCCAGGCCTGGGCGCCCGCCACCAGACTAGAACAGTCCTCCCCAGGGAGCCCGAAGCAAACATGGATCAAGAAGCCGTGGGCAACATTGTCTTGCTGGCCATTGTTACCCTCATCAGTGTGGTCCAGAACGGTAAGGGAAGGTCCTCACTCGGAGGGGGGGCCAAGGGTGGATTTTGTTTGCCAGGTGTTGGCAAGTCAGGCTTACACCGGTCTCTGCGTCTGTGTGCACTTTGGCTCACTTTTGCCTTATTTTGTTATTTGTTTCTTTTCCTTGAATGTATGGGTGTGTGCATTTGTGCCTACAGTCGGGGTTTTCCTTCTCCTGGGATTCCTTTCTCTTTGATGGGGGTGACTAACCATGTTTTCAGAGCCAGGGCAGCAACCTAGAGGCTTGATCCAAACCCTGACTGAAGTGTCTGCAGTCAGCATTTTAACTATTAATTACTGTGGCCTGAGACCGGGTGGGACGCAAGAAGCCTAGAAAGGGAAAGTGAAGTACATGTTTACTCAGGCACTAGGCTTTAGTAAGTGCGGCTGGGCTGACCTCAGTGCAATTGAGATTATCTGTCACCTGTCGGCTAAAAAACACGTCAATTTGGGAGGTGGGAGGGAGAAATCCCCTTATCATTATTTTATCTCTGTGTTGCTCTTTTTTTTTGTTTTTCCCTTGTGGAGAAACAGGTTCTTTGTAATACTTTCATTTTCCCCCTAGCAATGTATAAATTTGAAGCATTTTTCCTATGCATTATATATTTACATAAAGAGAGAGAGGAAGCATTTTTCTTGTGTGGGGTTTGCATTTCCATTAACCTTGCTAGCACTTAAAAAAACCAAGTAAGGAACCCAGACCTGAAAAAGGTAAGACCGTGTAGAATTTTCTCTTTAGAGTTCTGAGTCAGGACTGCCACCGACTCTTTTTACACATATTTCCAGTGGCTTTGTGTTTTGTAGTTTATTAAGATAGAGGAAAAAGGAGAGTAATTACTAAGGGCAGCTGCTGTAACCTAATGGTCATTACTGCATGTCCCCACACTGTCATACTTGGGAAGTTTGAGTATTTAACCAGTTTGGGATATCCTGTTATTTCCCCCCAGCTTGAATGTGGACAGAAGCTGAGGCTTCACCTGAGCCCAGAGTGGGGCTTCCGGGAGACCTTCCCACCCAAGAGGGGCCCGACTTTGCATCCTCCGAGTATGTTTCCTATATGGAACAGCAGTTGATCGCTTTTTGACCCAAACATTTTCATACTAAATCCACACCATCAAGTTGCGGCTCAGAGAGGGAACAAAGGGATTGTTTAGGCTGCCATTCCTCAAGCCATTGCTATTTCGTGCAGGGACCATGAGCTCCCTTGATCTTGCACATCAGCCAGGGATTCATTTATTCAACCTGCCTACACCTGCCGGGACCCGCTGTGCTGGCTTTATGGGGATATCGCTATGGTGTGGGCCCCCAGGAAAGGAAAAGATAGTGAGAAAAATGGCCAGGCATGGTCAACAGGAAGCCTTCAAAGACCCTTCTGGTGTCTTTGGGGGCAGTTTTCCACGGGTGGGTGGGTGGACAGGGCTCTTTCAGCCCGGTGTAGGGTCTCGCCTCCGGCCCTTCCTCTTATGAGCATCAATGTAGCTGATGATCTCAGTGGACTGGGGAGCCAGCTCCCCGTCACCCGCCTGTGGGGAAGGGGCTAAACTAGCTGGAAGGTTGGCGCTCACCCTGAGCTGCTCCCTCTCAGTTCAAAGCTGACTTGGGGGAGGCTGCTGGGTCTCCTGTTGTGAGTACAGAGTCTCTTCATCTCTCCCGAGATGCGGAACCCGCCCTTGGTCTGTTGAGTGGGTCCTGGGCTTTTTCTCTAGTGGCAGAACAAACCCTGATCAGACTTGAGGAGGGACCAGGAGGTTCCTAATTGTTTTTGGCAGTGAGAGTAAGTCTTCTTCCTTGGTACAGTATGGAAGGAGAGATTATAGCTAGCCAAATGTCTGAGTCTTAACAACCGCAGTCTAAGGGCCTTGACTTTGGACAGGCCATTTCAGATAGATAGGGACAGAACACAGTGGCCTCACTAATAGAGGTCCACCAACTGATGAGTAGGATGGAGGTTTCCTGGTGGGGAGATATGAGTATGGACCTGAGTGGAGCTCCCGTTTTGGGAGACTGGAGACTTTTTCAGGCTGGGCAGACCCTACATGGTGGCCACATCCTGTCCTCTGCCCTCCCCTCCCCGCTGTGAGCCGCTAGGGCAACGTGGGGGGAAGAGTGACTTTGTACAGCTCTGGTGCACCTTTGCTTGGGGAAGGGACAACCGGCTGCTCTTTTGAAGCAGCCCAGCCACATTCCTCTCTGAGGCAGAGACCTCGGACTGCCATGTGATTGTGATGCTGAGACCACTGTGTGAGGCCTTTTACTTGTAACTGTGAACTGTGCCCATGTCTGGGAACAAGAAAAATTCCAATAACTTGGCAGAGAACATCTGTACTTGCTTGCACCATGAGTTTTCAGGTAAACACAAAGGTTCAAGTGCATGTCCAGAGCCTCTCTTTGCAATTCTAATTAACTGCAACGTTGCAACCATAGATCTTCCTTACAAGGTTCAGAAAATATGCAAAGACTGTGCCTCTCTCCTCCTGCCCCGCAAAATGCCATTTCGAGCCCTTCCTGTTAGTGTGAAGGAGTATTTACGTGTTGTTGCCAGGCACCGCACACTTTGTCTTTGTCCCAAGACAAAGAGGTCTGGTCCACCTGTGTCCATGATGGTATCTGGGGTCCGTGCTTTCTGTACACTGTGTGGACCTCATTTCTTGGAAGAGGCCAGAGCCCAGTCCGCCTGGGGGAACTTCCTCCTCTGACTCTTACACATTTTTAGTCATCAAGATCTTTGAACCTGTGGCCCTCTTCCAGCTTGATCCAGCAAAACACAGATTTGGAAGCACAGAACGAGTTTAAAATACATCATTCCAAGAAAGCTGGGCCAGAACCACCAAAGCCTGGTTTCCCAGGGAGTATAGATAGATGCATTTCCTATGAATAGCATCCAGAGAGCCTCCAGCTTCTTCTGCCAAGGTGCCAGCAGCGTTGACATGCAGCAAACCTGAAAAAACATAGATTTGGGGAAAGTGATTTCCATAGGAAGCCAAACTAATGAGATTGAGAGGAGAGGGTGAGCCGAGGGGTAGGGCACTGAGCCTCGTGCATGGAAGCCTGAATGGCAACAGCAGAGAAAAGATGTCCTCCAGCAAGAGTGCTGTTCCCACAGCCCTCTGGTAGTAGGGAAGGGTTGTGGGAATTGGCATCATCCTCTCTCCTCCACTCTCTTCTTACCGTGAAGCCAAGAAGGGGGAGACATGATGACCCTGCGGACACAAGAGTTTGTGAGAATAGCGATGAGGAGGGATGTAGAGCTGGTAGTGAGCCCTCATCTTGCCGTGTCATCCCTGGTACTCCCACCGCAACACACACACACTCCTAATGAATCTCATGGGCACCATATTGGAAGACCTAACAACCCAACCTAGGGTTAGACGGGCTTTAGAAACAGGACTCATGAAGTGCCCCATAGCAGAAATCTTATTTACATCATTCTCAGCAGCTCCTACCTGAACCCTCCTGTGCTAAAGAGCTCACGACCTACCAAGCTTGCCCTTCCCATCATTAGGTGTCTTGAGAGTTGGCTTTGTGTCAAGCACAGTGCTTTGTGTTGGGAATAATACCTCACTGAATCCTTGCAGCCTGTGGAATATACACTAGTATTATTCCCATTTTACAGAGAAGCCATGTGGGGCTTGGAGAGGCTAGACCATTGGTTGAAAGTCCTAGAGCCAGTTGGGGTGACACTGGGATCCAAACCCATTCCAAAGAGTAGACGCTTATGCTATGTATATTGCCTCAGATCCATTTATTCAAACGCACACTCCTCAAGAAGTCCTACTGCCCTAGAACCTCCATCCACTGGTCCTGTTTCTATTCTCTGGAAAAGCCTGGACTATGCTTGCTGCTTCTAGGTTTACAGAGTCAGCTGTACCATCCTGCCTTCAATGTATCGCTTCTCAGGTGGTTGGTTTCCAGGGTCCCTTGTCGTTGGGTCACCCCCTCCCACCCATCTTGCCCTGTGCTGTCTAAGATGCAGATGATAGATGCATCTGGGATCCAGACATCAATTCTATGAAAATAATCATGGGCGTGTGATTCTTTGAACACTTGTATCTCGCTGCTGGAGCCTCTTAACTTTGTGCTTAACTAAAATCTCCAGATCTTTTCATGTGATCCTGAGGAAGTTAGTTGGCTTCTCTGACTCTGTTTCCTTAACTGAGAAACGGAGCTATGGTAGCTTCCATATGTACTTGTTGGAGGCACTGCGTGGCATACCGGAGGGCAAGTAGCCAGCAGGGCCCAGCGTGTGGTAGGTGCTCAGGTCAGGGATGGCCTGCAGCCTTTTCTCTTCGTGTCTCTGGCTCTGGCTCTCGCTCTCTCTCTGGTTTGGCCTACCATCAGCAGTTGGCCAAGATAAGTGTGTTCATGGTCTCTGCACGAGAAGTTTCTGTGACACCGTGGAGGATAACGCGGGGGCAGGGTGTGAGTGGGTGGTGAGGAGTGGACAAAGGAAGCCAAATTCTTTCAAGCTTAGGTAAGCAGTAGGGAGAGGTAGAGCCTAGTGGATCGAGGCAGGCTTGCTTTTGTTTTGTTTGATGGGTGGGAAAGATCCGAATCTGTTTCTAGGGTCAAGAGGCGGAGGAAGAAAGAGAGGGAAGGTTCAGGAAACGGGGAGAACACGGATGAAACAAAGGGCTGAAGGGGTAGCAGGAATGGACTTAAGGTCACAGGTAGAGGGCAGTCCTTGGAAAAGAGGAAGGGGTTGGTTTCTCTGAGCAAGGAGAGGAAGAAGAAAGGCAGATGCAGAGAATTACAGCCAAGTGGTGCGGCTGGTTGCAGAAATAACCTCTGACTTTCTTAATACCGTCTCTGTGACATGTTCAGAGGCAAGGGCCGTCCTGGTGGGTTCCGGAAAGGCAATGGTCAGAATTTTCTACTGTATTTTGTGGTAAGAAGAGACATTCAGAACAGACCGATGTGTACTTACATCCCCTGTGGCTGATGGAATCCCTGCGGTGAGCTTCAATGTGACAGTAGTGAGAAAAAAACCGTCCTCATCTGCCCCCCTGGATTTGAATCCCCAGCTGCACTGCTCCCCAGTGGAGTGAGCTATCCGACCTCCCCGAGGCACTGCATCCTTGTCTACAAAGTGGGAACAGCACTGCCCACTTCGCAGCGTCAGCGCAAGACCCAGTAAGGGACTAGATGTCAGGTGTCTGCTGGAGCGCCTGGAGCTGGCCGATGCCGCCTTCAGACCAGTGGCCCTTAGCTATGCTCCAGACAGGCACGTTTCTAGGATAGGGCTGTATTTTTGCCCAAAAGAAAACCAGGGCAGGGTTTTCTTCATATACATGGTTGATAAGGCATCCATTTGACATTTTTTTGAGGAAGTTAATATGAAGCTGATGAAAAGGAATCCCATAAGACCCCTGATATAACGGGGGGAGGGGAGAGAGACCTTCATTCCTACCCCTCCCTGCCCCAATCTATAAACAAACCCTCGGGATTCTGGCTCCTCAGCACCCCTCACACCCCACAGCCAACCCCCTAGTTGGCTCCCTCCTATCTTCCCCCTGTCGTGGGCCTGACCCCTCTAGACACTCACCATGCAGAAGACAGAATGGCTCTCTGCTTAACACCATTCCTCAGCTTACACCTGTCAGGAACTCCTTGTTGCTCGTGAGATGGGAATAAGTTCTGATTTTCTTAACATGGCTCTCATCAAGGTCATAGTCACGCTGCTAAATCCAGTAGGCACCTCTAAACTATCCTCTTCTTCAGGCCTGGGCTCACTTACTGCTTTCTCACTCCGTCCACCCTATGAGCATGCCACATGGCTCCTCACCCTGCTCTGTCTTCTCTTCTCTCCATGGCTCGGCACACAGTATAATTTTAATTTAAGTGTTTTGTTCACTGTGAAACACTGTGTATGATCTATCTCCTCTTCCACCCTTACTGGAACATAAGCTCCTCAGGCCAAGGTTCTCTGTGTATTTTGCTCTCAGATGCAAGCTAAGTGTCTGGCATATGGCAGGTTACAAAGAAAAATGTCTGAAAGAACAATTCACCATCTACCTCTTTGGCCTCATTCATAATTCTGCCAGTTTCCACTCCCTGCTCCCGATTTCCCCCATCATAAGCTGGACATAGCAAACCAAAGACAGTTCTCGCCTCTGCACCTTTGTGTATTCCATCCCACTCAAGTGGGGTGATCTCCTCTGTTGCCTCCTCCATCTCTTTGGCTAATTCCCACTTGTTTGGCAAATCTTATCCTAGATGTCGCTTCCTTTAAGGATCACTCCGTGATCCCAACACTGAATTAAGTTGCCTCTTGGATCCTCAATGTTCTCAGTCAGTTTCATCTTAGCATGAATCACTAGAGTGCAATTTCTGCCCTAATTGTGTGTTTATTTCCTTCGACTGTAAGAACCTCGAAAGTGGGGGCTGTGTCTTGCTCACCGTAAAGATCTTGCTTCACCATCACCAAATGCAGTGATTTGTAGAGATAGCTGCTGAATGAATTTTTGGTAAATGACATTTGTTGGAAGACGTTTAGGGCTGTTTGGAGGGCACATAGAGGGAACATTGAACATTCTAGTAAAATAATGAGAAACCAGGCTCAAGAACGTGCCCATTATAAACCAGATCCAAACCTTTCTCTCTGCCAGGTTTCTTTGCCCACAAGGTGGAGCATGAAAGCAAGACACAGAATGGGCGGAGCTTCCAGAGAATGGGAACACTTGCCTTTGAGCGGGTCTACACTGCCAAGTGAGTCCAAACCCTGATACTGCAAACTAACAGAGTGCGGCCCCGGGCACAGGGGCCTCCCTATCAGAGTGAAGACCACTCTCAAGGCTACATGTCTGTCTGGGCCAACCTTCAGAGTGCAGGGGGAGGCAGAGCTCCCAGGGAAGGTTGAACCTCTCCTGGGGGGTGGGAGTGGGGGTGGGTTTGTGGACACCCCTCATCATTGTAATAAGTGCTAGTGTTTCAAGAAAGGAACTGGGGATATTGGAGGCTGGGGTGAGGGGAGATGTGCGATCACCACACTCCCCCTTGCTCCAGAAACTCTGAGCCAGTCCTGTGGTCACAGTGTTACCAGTTTCCTGGGGAATTACTACCATGAAAACCAGCCATGATTCATTGGCTGGCTTTGGAAACAACAGGTGGGCCGTGATGGCAGCAGCCTTCAGCTCACTGCCCCTTGTGTCCCGCTCCGTGGACATCTGGAGGTGTGGCAGGACCTTTCAGAATGCCCGGTCTCCTTGAGCAACCAGAACAAGAACAGTAAGAATGGGGGAACTGTGCAATTGCTCCCCCCCCATTCTTTACTTTTGAATAAAAAGGCTGCTTGAAAACACCTGAACGGTTCAGTGAAGGAAATGGGAGCTATTTAGGATGCAAATCTGAATCGATGTTATTCAAACACTCATTTTTTCCTTTATGCAGAACGTATTTGAACAGCAGTTTCAGGCAGTGGCCTGTTTCTCTGTGCCTGTGACGAGGGACCTGTCAGAAGGAAAGGCTTCAGCTATGAGCTGGCTCAGGAGCTGGCCTTGAGTCTTAACTCAGAGGTGACTCTGATCGCCCCCACAGATCTTTCCAAAGGGGCAGTCATGGACACGCAAGGAAATCATCGCAGGCTGATGTCCTGGTCCCTTCACCCCGTCTGGGCCCTTTGCCTTTTGGGCTTGGGGCTTCAGGCTGCTCCTGAGCGCTCACAGTCCCTCCAAGACCTCCCCCTCTCCCGGGCCCTCACCACCTGCTCTCACCCCCCTTCCTCAGACTAAGCAGTCCTGGGCAGGGTCATTCCCGCAGTCGGATCTCAAGGAAATTCTTTGCTGAGCTACCTACAGGGAGATTTCTTTTTTAACATTTGGGCCTTCAGTGTATGAAGTTAAGTTTCCATCTTGCCAGCAATGAAGACAAAATGGAGCAGGCCAGGCCATTCAGTTTCTGCCGTTTTCCCCAAAGGTGGGCTGGCTCTGTGCTCACACCTGGCCCTTGGCACCAGCCCCCAGATTGAAGAAATGCCCTTCGGTGCTGGCTGCGCTGCGTCATTTGGAAGGGCGGTTTAGAAGTTCTGCAATGGTGTGGGGTTCCTGACGGAAGAAGGGGCCAGGGGAGACGGGTGGGGCATTCTTGCTGCCCGGGGGGGCCCCATGGTGTGGATGGCGCAGCCCAGCTCCCCATGCCCCTGCGTCTTTACCACTTCACCTCCATGAAAGGAGAGTGAGAAGAATGAAGAGGGGAGGGAGTTGTGGAGAGGTAGGAGCTCAGGGGGAGGAGAGGAGAATTTTCTGTAAGATGAAGGTTGCCAGGACACTGTTGTGGTTCTGTTACAGAGACCACTTCCTCCCTGACCCAGCTAACAGCAAGCACTTGGCGTGCCTAGGGTGGTTTATAGAAGGGTGGCTTATAGAAGTGCTGGCAAAAGCCAGAGGCGCCCAGTCTGCTTGCGTCTGCCAGGAAGCTATAGGCAAGGGGTTGTGTGTTGGTCCAGCGAAATTTCTTCTCCAGCGGTGGCTTGTCGAGGGGCCTCCAAAAGCACCAAAGAAGGTACAGGTTGGGCCGTGGATTTGCAAAAAGAAAAGAACATATATTTAATCTTGTTGTCTAAAAACGAAGAAATCAAGCTGTACTCATGTTTAATACTCAGGTGGAAAGCCGAGTGTGTATTATACCTGTCACAGGGTGGCGTGATCAAATCTTCTGGTTGATGGGGTGTGAGATCATAAATGTTTCCAGACCACAGCTATCAAGAAAAACTAGCATAACAGGATAAATGATGCTGGTGGATTGAAAAGCCTGATGCATATTTTTCAGCATAAAATATGACTGCTGACAGATACAGATGGTTCCAGATTTGGGGGGCAGTTGATAAACAGATATTGCAGCGAGGTGTGGCCCATCAGCTCCAGTTTGGCCTCGGTTAATGGTCTGTCCCATCACCCATCATCCACCAGGGCAGAACTGAGTCAGGGTTTGAGAGACAAAAAGAATCTTGACCTTGACTCTCTGTTCATGTGTATAAAACATAATTCAAAGCTCTGTTCCCCGATGAGGAGCACAGGTAGAACAAAGTTTGATTTCTGGAGGAAAAGCTCAATTAACTGACCTAAGATTCTTCCCCAGGAGTGCAGGTAAGCACAGGTTGCCGAGAAGAGAGGGGTCCCTGGACAAGTGTAAATTTCTGACATGTGTTCCATAGATTACAAGTTCGTGGGCTGGTAACACGTGTTACAGAGAAGAAGAAGTTCTGGACAGCAAGACTTTTTGAGAACTTTTAATGAGCTGAGGAACATTGTGATTCTTGGTTCTCCAAGAAAGGGAAGTCTTTTTTTAACTACAGATACACCCCCCATTTTTTTTTTTTTTTTTTGCAAAGCATATCAAGGGTTTAGTGTTTCACAGAATACATTTTGGGAAATGCCACCCTAAAGTCCTTTCTCTCCTGCACCTCTCAAAATCCACCTCAGACTCACTTCTGAGTGGGGTGGACTTGTAAATAATTTGAAGGTAATAGATCTGCATTGATTCTATTGATTAGTAGTGATACTATTACTATTATTAGTGATATTTACTTAAGTTAATCCAAACTCACTAATAAAGCACTATGTAAGTACTTCTCTATCTGATTCCCAAAGGTGGAGAGAAACAGAAGGGAAAATACGAGTCCTTTTCTCCGTGAAAACATTGATAGTGTAGTGCATCAAATCGAACGCAGCACAATGAATTGTCGACAAATCTGGCAAGCACCTCGGAATTGGACCTCAAGAAATGAGAGCCAAGATGGGTTTGCCAGTTTTGTCTTGCAGAAAAAATGGCGCACAACTCTCCACAAAAGAAAATTTGGAAGAATGATAATTTGTCAGCAGGAAAGACATTTCCACTGGGGATTGTAAGAAGGAAGACGTCGGAACAGTAATAGTCACCATTTATTGAAAGCTTGTTATGAGTCAGACACTGCTTTATCTCATTTTATTTTCACAAGCCAGTGTGGTAATTACTAATGTCTCCACTCACCTCTTATAGATGAGGAAGACCGAGGCTCAGTGAGGCTAGGAAATGCACCCACATTTACACAGCAGCTGCCTAGACGTCGGACCGAGGCTTTGTGACTTTATTTTATTTATTTGTTTTTAAAGATTTTATTTATTTATTTGACAGAGAGAGACACAGCAAGAGAGGGAATACAAGCAGTGGGAGTGGGAGAGAGAGAAGCAGGCTTCCTGCCGAGCAGGGAGCCCGATGCGGGGCTCGATGCGGGGCTCGATCCCAGGACCTGGAATCATGACCTGAGCCGAAGGCAGACGCTTAACGACTGAGCCACCCAGGCGCCCCGAGGCTTTGTGACTTTAAAGACCATGTGAGCATCCGCTAGGCTCCATCTCAAGAGATAGCCGCATCACTGACTAAAGCTACTTGAATTCAGCCCAGCAGTGGCCCTCTGTCAAGGAGGGGCATCTTGCGTGGAGCTGTGGGTAGAACGTATCAGAGATCCTGGAGCAGAGAAGGACTGGCTTGAGCCAGAGCGAGGGACGGGAGTCTGGGTATATTCTGGAAATCCAGAGGAGGAGCCCATTCTCTTAAAGTTGGGAGAGTTTCATTTAACTCCAGACAGACCATTTTTATTGGGGACCAAGGTGACTTGAGACAATAGGAAGAATGATTGAATGACTAATTCAGTGTCCCATTACTATACCATTCTCTCTAATGAGCAAATTCCTTAGATAATTAAGAATTTTTTAAAATTTTGCACCACCCAGATGAATCCAGTACCTAAAAACAAACAAAAACAGAAGCATGAGAATGAGGAGGAGGCAGGGGAGATCTTGGTATTAATAAATTTTCAAACTGTTGGAGCATCAGGTATTAGGTCCCATCAGATGTAGAACATTATTCAATTAAATAAGGGATGTGCTCCCGCTTTTCTTGAACTGGGAAATAGATCACATTCTGAGTCCCAAGGCTGTGGTTTTGCGCCTCTGATATGTAAGAATAGATACGATGCTTGTGCTCTGTAGCTGCATATAGGACCTGTTTATTCGCTAAGTACTTCACCGTAAATAATAAATTTGTTCTACCTCCTGCCCTTCAGAGTTCCTGCTGTGTCCACTAGACACAGTGAACCGCCTGGGCACCTGGCAAGGTGAGCAGGGCTCTGCTCTCTCCCCTGTGCCTATCGCCCAGGATAGGATACACTGCTTTCTTACCTTTAATTTCATTGACTTCTCCAGTAGAGGATCTTTTGATCATCAGAGGGACGTGACGTTTCCTGTGGCCAGGGACACAGTCCATCCTCTCTGGGTTCTCTGCAGGGGATGGACCAAGGGCTGCTCATTCCAGAGTTCTCAGTGGTACCAGTGAGCATGAGACGCTATTGGTCTGAACCAGAGTTCATAGCTGATTTAGGAGGGAAAGCATGAGAACCAGATCAAGAAGTATCCCGAGGAAGGACTCCAAGGAAGGAATTTGGATAAAAGGCTGAATACATTATGCAAATTGCATCTCTGCTTTTACCCGTGCAGTTTGAATTACATTAGACCAGTGGTCTTTTAACTTGAGCATGCTTCAGAGTCACCTGGTGGGGCTTGTTAAAACACAGATTGCTGTTTCCCCCGCCCTGGGAGGTTTTAATTCTGTGGGTCTGAGATGGGCATTGACATTTGCAGTTCTAGCAAGTTCCCAGGTGCTTCTGATGCTGCTGATCCAGGGACCACGCCTTGAGCACCACCTCATTAGAGCATCAATCTCTTAGAGTTTACATGGCTCAGAGTTGCTATCAGTCTCTTAGTTTTTTCAGGTAGGGAAACTAAGTCCAAAGGGATTGCTTTGCCATTGACAAACAGCTGGTGAACGTCAGGGCAGGGACCAAATCCTAGTCACGTGCCCCTTCCACTCTATTGCTTTGCCCTCCCATCCTTTCAGGCTTCCACGTCTTGTAAGGTTGTTTTCCCATGGACATGTATATTGGTTGCCCTGATCTAGACTCTGAACTTCTCAAGAGGACACTCGCTGTTTATTTTGCCTAGTCGAAGAGGTGACAGACCTGGTTTTAGAGTTGGACTTACGGTCGCTCGGTGATGCTGAACAGGTTACTCAGCTTCTCCAAACCTCAGTTTCTCATGTGAAAATGAGAGTAGCTGCAGTAGGCCGAATGAAAGGCCCCCAAACACATTCACATCCCGACCCCAGGAGCCCATGAATAGGTTCTGTTACATGGCAAGAAGGAATTAAGGCTGCTAATCAGCTGACCTTGAAATCAAGAGAGTACTCTGGATTATCTGGGTAGACTCCAATGTCATCACAAGGGTTCTTTAAATGTGGAAGAAGGAGGCAAGGAAGTCGGTGTCAGGAAGACTCGGATGGCCATCGCTGCCTTCGAGGTTGGCAGGGGGCCACAAGCCAAGGAATGCAGGTGATCCCTAGAAGCCGAGAAAGGCGAGGAAACGGATTCTTGGCTGGAGTCTCCAGCAGGACTGCAGCGATGCCGACACACTTGAGTGTAGCCCGGCGAGACCCATTTTGGACTTCTGACCTCCATGCGATTTGTCCTGTTTGAGGCCACCGAGTTGGTGGCTACCCGGTCCAGCAGCCATAGGAAATGCGTGCAGCCACCCCTGTGCCCCCTCGGGACCTCGGTGAGCGTACAGGAGACGAAGGGTGTAAGACACCAGCATGGTGACTGCAGTGGGGTGGGAGCCCCTGCATGGGAGCCCGAACTGAGCCCCGCACGCTGCGATCCCACTACCAGCAAGGGACCTTTCTGAGCACCTGCTTTTCTGAGTCGACCCTGGTTTCTCTGGTGCTTGAAGCTCACCCCTTGTTCCCCAGCCCAGCCTGTGGGGCTGAGCTGACTTGTGCGTCTGACAAAGGTTTCCCGAGTTGGGCTCCTCTCCCCTGCACCTCCCCCTAATCCTGACAGCTGCCACAGCCGTGCTGTCTGTGTTGCTCACTTTTCAATTCCAAGAAGCACTTTGGCACAGCCAGGAGCAGGAACCATCCATCAAGAATCGAATCCATTCGCCAAAACGAATCCATCAAGAAACCAAGTCTCCCATTGGCTTCGCCGAGGAAGGGAGTGGACGGATCCCGAACGTGTGTTTGCTCCATACCACTGCCTATTTCTGATGGGGCACCCGTGTCTTATTAGTGGATGTAAGTGCAGTTATGAATGGGGTTTGCGCCTCACGTGTGATGGTGATTATCAATTTGGGTTTCGGGTGATTTTCAGACTACGCTGCAGTAACGTGTTTTCTGATTTTTCTTCTCCTTACTGTTATCTTTTTTTATTCTACAGCCAAAACTGTGTAGATGCGTACCCCACTTTCCTTGTTGTGCTCTGGAGTGCGGGGCTCCTCTGTAGCCAAGGTAACTCGGGCTTCTGTGTGTGTGTTCTCTTCCTGAAACGCGCAGCTTGAGGGGGTTTGAGTGCAGGCTTTTTATTGAAAAGACTTTGCTTGACCTCCAGCTCCGCTCCGCGAAGCCCCCGGAGAGGTGAGAACCCCCGGGGGAGGTCGTTTTGCAGGCCTGCTCTGTGCCCGGGCGGGGCGGGTGCGGTAATGCATTGCTAATGCTTGTTCCCCGGTGGCTGGTTGAGAGCTGCTTCACCCACAAGGGTGCTTTCAGGCTAAATGTGACTCAGAATCCTTAAGCAGTCTTCGCCCTGATGCAAGGGCATTATAAATGAGAGCGCCTGAGGGATCTATTCTGGGACCCTGTCACTCGGCGCGTCCGCTAATAAGCTTCCAGCGGGGCGGCCGTGTGTCTGCAGAGCCCTGGTCTCCAACCCTCTCCCGGGTTATCAGCAGCCCACAGCCCCGACTCCAGCAGGTTGACTCCCAGAGTTGATTTAAAATGAAATGGAAACCAGAGTCCTGTGTTTGGTCCCCTTCGGAGCTTGGCATTGCGCCTGGTGGAGGCTTGGCATGACCTGGCCAGCTTCCACACCGTGGCCCCGCAGGGCGCGTGCCTGAGGAAAGGCCACTGGTGGCCTCCGAGGGGCTAAGTAATCCTTATCATCCTCTCCCACTTTATGGAGGAGGTAGAGGGGTTATTATCTCCCTCTAGTATCTGTGAGGACACTGGTTCAGGGAGATAAGGTAACTTGTTCAAGGTCACTCAGCGGGTGGACGCAGAGCCAGGATGAGAGCCCAGGTCTTTGGGGCTAAATCCTGGATTTTTCATGAGTATTTTTCTGCATTATTCATGTATCTACTGCATATACACTGAACACCTGCTTCGTGGCAAGCCCTGTGCTTGGGTACACAGTGATAAATAAAGAGATGGTGGTGGGGCACGCAGCACTTGGTGAGCTGAACCACAGGGAAGACGCGAATGGATAAATTCTTGCCGAGAGTGAGAAGTGCCAGGAAGGAAAAAGATCAGGTGCAGTGACAGGGAACAGAGGTGAGGGATGGCAGCAGAAACTCCTTCAGGAACGCCATGTGGCCTCCTTCTGTGCTCCATAAGGCTGTCATTACTCACTATTTATTTACCACTATCTATCCTGAGTGAAATAAGAAACATGTCTGGCATAACTTGAAAAATCAAGTCAAACTATGCTTATATGAGGAATTATGATTCCTTTTATGTCTTAGATGATACTTGATAGAGATGAATCTCCAGTTGTTCTAGCTAGATAAATACATAGGGAGTTGGAAGGTGTTTTGGAGCCCTGGAACCACGCATTTCAGACAAAACAAATGTTGGCACTGCTAGGGGACGAAAGTGTCAGTAAACCATCTTCGATCATCGTCATTCCTTATGACTGTAGTAAATTACTGGATTTTTTAGTCAAAAGGAACCACAGCGATCATTCTAGCCCAGATCCATCACTTTATGGGAGCAGGAGCCCAAGTCCCAGAAGGACAAGTGGTTTGCTCAAATTTCAGAATTTTTGAGTCCAGATTCGAACCCGCTGTGCCCCTCCTACTGTTCCGAGCAGCCTGGGTCCACGAGGCACGTACCATCCTCTGCAGGAGGGCAGTGAGTACAGCCATTTTCCACCCCTGACTCCTGTCAGCTCTTGTTCAGTTTAGCCGCCCATCGAAAGAGAGACGGGCTGGTAAGTTAGAGCGGGGCCATCCAGATGGGACAGACCAAGAAAGACTTCGTCCAGGGCAGATTGTGAATTGTGACGGTTCTGTGACCTTCAGATAATAAATAGCATGAACCTCATAAGCAGTTTCTTTTGTGCTTTGGTTTTCTTTTCTTTCTTTCTTTCTTTTTTTTTTTTTTTAAGATTTTATTTATTTGACACACACACACACACAGAGGGAACACAAGCAGGGGAAGCAGGAAAGGGAGAAGCAGGCCCCCAGCTGAGCAGGGAGCCCGATGCGGGGCTCGATCCCAGGACCCTGAGATCGTGACCTGAGCTGAAGGCAGACACTTAACCTACTGAGCCACCCAGGTGCCCCTGGTTTTCTTATCAAAGCACATGACACTAGTATTTTGGGCAAGGTGGAGTTGTGGCAAGAACATGGGTCTGGGGATGGGCAGACTGGAGACCGTTCTGAGGACACTCATTGCTGGTGCTAGGACCCAGGGCTGTTACTCAGCTATCCTCAGCCTCAGTTTCCCCATTTGTAAAGTAGCAATAATCGAGTTCCCAGGATGATTAAGTGAGAGAGTGTGCATAAAGCCCCTGACATGCTGCATGGAATAGATAAGATCAAACCATATACACCTGCCAATGTCTGACTGTTTAAGACACACAAAAATGGCAATTTCATATAGTCCAGCCTAACAATAGATGCCCAGTAGATGTTACTCCTAGTGCTGGGGGTGGTAATAGGGCTTTGAAATCATACAAACCTGGTTTCAAATTCCACCTTGTTCAAAAATAAAATTCGGGGCGCCTGGGTGGCTCAGTCGTTAAGCGTCTGCCTTTGGCTCAGGTCATGATCCCAGGGTCCTGGGATGGAGATGCCCTGCATCGGGCTCCCTGCTCAGCCAGAGGCCTGCTTCTCCCTCTCCCACTCCTGCTTGTGTTCCTGCTCTCGCTGTGTCTCTCTCTCAGTCAAATAAATAAAATCTTAAAAAAAAAAAAATACAATTCAACCAAGTGAATTTGAAGATTGAATTGGCTTTATCAAAGGATTCATGAATCCAGCAGCATCCCATCTAGTAAGCAGAGGGGAGCTCCCAGGGGTTGTACAAAATGGAAGGTTTTTATAGGAAGGAGGGTGGGGCAAGAAATTTGTTAGCAAAAGAAAAGGATTGTTCCAGGCAAGGTTTCTTTCCCTTGGGGGAAGGAGGAGTGGGGGTCTTATCCTGCAGATTACCTCATCTTCCTTTGAAGGAAGAGAGGGCCCATGTGGCCGATTACTTCATTGGCTCCCATCAGAACATTCCCAACTACAGGTTAAGACCGCATTTCTGTGAAACGGCAGTTAGATTAGGGATTAAGCCCTGGTTTGGGGACTTGGCCTAAGTGATGCCATTTTGGGCCTGTGGTTTTCTTTTTAACAACCTTTTCCTTGGCTCACCTGACTTTTATGAGTTCATTTAACAAATAATTTTTGGAAGCCAGTATGTGCCAGGTACCATGCCGAGCCCAGAGATTGATTATGTCTAGCAGAAGATGGCTGTCCTCATGGGTCTTTTGGTCTGGTAAGTGACTCTGGGCAAACTGACTTCTTTGAGCCTCAATTTCCTCATCTGCCAAATGGGGACAGTAATGCACTCTTCACCAGGTGGCCAGGGGGATTGGAGACCAAGGACCCCAAGTGGCTGGGGCAGTGCCTGACATAAAAAGTGCTCTGTCAACACAATTAGTTTGGCATTTGAACAATGCTGGAAGGTCTTCAGAGTGCTTTTATACCCAGGCGCCTATTTCACCCTCACGATCCTTCCTGATAGGTAGGAAAGCTACAGTCAGCCCTCTGTCCAGATGTAGGAGGAGTTAAGTATTAGCTTCTGATCACAATAGTCCTTGTGCGGTTGGGTTTTCTAACTCTCAGCTCTAAGGTTCAGGACTCGTGCTGCTCATGGTTGTTACTCACAGGGCTAAGGCAAAGGGAGTCTTCCTCCCTAGAGATCTTTTTTTCCTCCCCAAAGATTTATTTATTTATTTGAGAGAAAGAGAGAGCATGAGCGCGCACAAGTGGGGGGAGGGGCAGAGGAAGAGAGAATCTCAAGCAAACTCCCCACTGAACTCGGAAACCTGCATGGGGCTCGATCTCACAATCCCAAGATCACGACCTGAGCTGAAATCAGGAGTCGGATGCTCAACCGACTGCCCCCCCCTTCCCAGGCAGCCCCCTCCCTAGAGATCTTTCCTGAATTGGCCACAATTGTTCAGAAAAGGTTGAGCATTGCACTGCTTGGAGGCCCAGAGGGGAAGGGTATGCTTTTAAGAGAGCCAGCCTAGAGCTGGGCTTGGGGTTTGGGGTGATGCCAATAGAAAGTAACAGTACTAGCATCAAACTTCTAGGTTTCTATCAGCCCTAGGCTTTTTGCTGAAGTTCCCATCAGCCTGAACTGCGACTGCGGGAACCTGAGGCCTCTGCTGGATTTTGCGACCAACACTAGTTGCACAATGACTGTGTCGATATTGTGTTACTTTAGCATGTTCTGGCATCTGTGAAACTCACACGGCGTCTCCCTTTCTCCCCTTAGTTCCCGCGGCCTTTGCTGGACTGATGTACCTGTTCGTGAGGCAAAAGTACTTCGTCGGCTACCTAGGGGAGAGAACTCAGAGGTAGGCCGCAGGGACTGTTTAAGAGCCAGGGTGTGAGTCATGCTTTTTGAGCAAGAAGAACCATCACTCACAATCATATTCTGCCTAAGATTTAAGGCTCTGAGGGATCGCTTGGGGCCGGAGGGGGAAGGCTCACTAGTATCCCTCACCCTTTACCCCCTGAACTTTGCGGGCTCTGCAAATGCAGCTGGGGGACATGACTTGTGTGCCCCGTAACCAACTCCTCCACATGGCGCTGGGCTCACAAAGGATGCTTTAATGCCACGCACTACACATTCTTGCAACCCCACACCCTCTACTCCCGCCCTTCAGAGTCTGGGCCTTGAATGACTTTCTGTGTCTGGCTTCCCAAGGCCTCCGGTGAGTGAAACGTTTTATTGTTTGCCTAAAGAAACGAGAGCTAAAGCTTGCACCTTGTGATAAGTTCTCTTGAGTAACAAATCTTCCAGGGACCAGCAGGAAGAACGTGGCAAAAATAGGCTGCACTCACATGCAAAGGATGGAGTCTGTGAATAGTGTCCCCATTGCATTGCTTATAGATGCTGTCAGACGGAAAGCTCCAGAGAAGCAGTTATATACTTTGACGACACCTGGCTTGGGAAGTCGGGATTTTCATAAAATAAATGAGGATACTTACAGAAGAAATGTTCACGGTCTAGTCTGCCATCGGTTCCTTAGAATTCCTAATGTAACAGGAGGGCTCCAAGAGCCAGGCTGGTTCTCTCCAGTTCTGGGAGGCTGCCGCCCCTATGCGGGTCCAGCCTTCCCCTCCATTTCTCTCCCTTGTCTCGTTTCACATCCCTCTCTGTCTCTCACAATAGCACCCTTCTCTTGTGGTTAATGGGCTCTCCGCTCAGATAGCATCCTTCGGCGGTGACAAAGGCTTTGACATCCCTCGAGGTCGGCGGGTGAAAGCACTAACATCTGGGGACCTTGGAAGCCTGTGAAGCTAAATGGCTGGGGGGCGGGGG